GGAATCGGCTGGAGTTGAGAATTGGTGTGCTTTTCAGGAGAAGCCAAAAGCAAGGAAATTTGTCATACCAGCTGGCATTACCTGCTTATCTTCGTTCTACGGTCTTAAGGGAGCTCCATGATGAAATGGGTCACATAGGCATCGAACGGACTCTCGACCTTGTTCAATCAAGATTCTTCTGGCCTAAGATGGCCTCAGCAGTGGAAAAGAATGTCAAAACCTGCAAGCGTTGTGTTCGATGATAGACTCTGCCAGAGAAAGCCCCTCCATTGGTGAACATCAGAACTAGCAGACCGCTAGAGCTAGTTTGTATGGATTTCCTGTCATTAGAGCCTGACCTAAGTAACAGAAAGGACATACTGGTGATAACCGACCATTTCACCAATTACGCTGTTGCTGTACCGACACGCAATCAGAAAGCCCAGACAGTAGCCGAGTGTCTATGGGACAATTTTCTGTTGCACTACGGATTCCCAGAAAAACTCCACAGCGGCCAAGGTACCGACCAAGGTAATCGACTTCTCGCACGATTAAAGAACTGTGCCAATGTGCTGGAATATCCAAGACCAGAACTACTCCATACCATCCGAGAGGCAATCCGGTTGAACGCTTCAATCGAACATTTCTGCAGACGTTGAGAACCCTGAACAACAAGGAAAAATCAAGATGGAAGGATTATGTCAAACCACTGGTGCACGCATACAGTTGCACTAAGAGTGATGTGACTGGATTCTCCCCATGCGAACTAATGTTCGGGCGACTGGCATTTGGGTTACCTGTCGATAGTCAGTCTGGATCCCATTCCAAGTACGTACAAGATCTCAAGAAACAAGAAGAGGTATGACAAACATGTTGTTGCCTCCACCCTTGAAGTCGGTGATCGTGTATTGGTGAAAAATGTCCGCCTGAAAGCAAAACTCAAGTTAGCAAAGTCCTGAATCCTGTCCTGGCTGTGGATTCTTATCCCTGGTTTGGACTGGCTAGCCATCCCATCGTTTCGGAACTGGAAACAGAGTAAAAAGAACTGTGAGAGTTGTGAGAAAAAAAAGAGTTTTCTGATTGGGTAAGACAGAACTGCACACATTGCGTTTTTCCTGGATTTCCCTGAAGACAAAATTAAGTTTTTTTTCTTCCCTTTTCTCTTCATTGCGTTAATTTTTGATGAACATTCCTACTCAGTAATTTTTTTGGAATTTGAAAACAAGACATTGAACTTGAAATTGAGAAACAGGTTGAATTTCAGAAATTGACATTGGGAAATTTTGACTGTTTATCATTTATTTGAAATACTGTGTTATTGTTATCTATTTGTTTTTCTTTTGTTTTTTCTTTCATTCTTTCAATTCCAAAAGATACAACTCATGCAAAAGAACAAACAAAGAGAAAAATACACTTACCTTTTCTTTAATTAGCTGCATTCCAGTGGTCTGAGTGGTTAATTGTTTTTATTCTTTCTTACTATCATCTTTGCTTCAGTGAGTCGATCCAAATCTTCTGATTCTGGTCCATAGTTTTGCTTTTATAGCAACCTAGTAACTGAGACGAGTGCTACCCGCTGTGTGCTACATAATGATTCACTGTTTTGCAAAATGTGGAGGGGGTTTCTTCAGTCATTAATGGAATATACTTAGTTCTCCAAGGAACCCAAGTAAACAGCTAGGACATATTCATATAAAAATGTATTTAAGCTTATTATAATTCTTTCTTCTAGTCATGCCAAATTTAGTCCAAAGTAGGGAAAGTGGCTATGTTTATTCTGGGTTGAACTCTGTTCTCATGGGAGTAGATGGAAAGACATAGGGATGAACAAGGAATTCATTTTAGCTGGGAAAATGCACCATGTGACGTTGTAGTGAGTGATATAATTTTAGTTGGTTCTATAGCAAAAACAAATTGCATTATCTTAGTTTGTAATATTAAATAGCTCTAAATATGATATTATATCATGCTTCTTACTTTAAGACAATGGCATGGGGTTACTATTCATGTTTAGTTTAATACATTTTTAATATTATTACATTTTTATTTGCTTAGATAATCCCTCTGTTTGCAGTTTTGCTGTTGTAACAAATGTAAACCTCTCTTATCCACAAAATTAAAATGATTCTGTAAATGATTGTATTTAACTATAGTCAATAATGACATTTTCTGAACAAAATGTGTGATACTTTCTATTGCAAATGTTTCCAGCAATATGTCAGGGTGTTGCTATGTAGTATTTTAAAATTTACTAGTGTATTTGTCTACTTTAGCACCTTGCTGTGGTTAGGATGAATGAAATGTGATGTCTGAAAAATACATTTAACACTCTTTGATCACAGACAACATTTGAGTGGCCTGTGCCAACATCAGTGAGGGCAATGAATCCAGCTTAATTTCTCCGTATGTAGATAAGCAGGTAGGAGCACTGCGTTCTGCTCTGATGTTGAAGTTCTGGAGATATTCCCAGAGCTCCATGAAGCAGAGCAGAAGAAGAGCGGCTGTGCCTGAGGCCAGGGTGAATGAGTAGGCTGGAATGTTTGCTGTCATATTTTACTTCCAGGTCATCTGGCTCCATGCAGGAAAAAAAGACACTGTGATAATTTCCTGTTTATCCCTTATATCTCTGCTTCTCTCGTTATTGACATTTGGTGGAATGTCAAGCTCCTGCCTTTTATTTCCCTGGAATCAAATTAATATTTCATGTGTGGTAAGAAACAACCTATTTATGTAAAAGCTTTGTAGCTGGGCGAGCTGTGTAGAAAATATTAATGTGCTCAAACACAAGTCAGTCTAATGTAGCTTAAGTAAACGGAAAATTATTCTTGATAGCAAAAAAAGGAATAGTAAAACAGAATATTAATATGAGTAACTTAGATGGATAGTTATACTATGTACTATGGAAGTCAGTGGGTACATCAACTGTTTGGTTACCAACATTCTTCAAAATATATTTTGTGTTCAGCAGAAGAAAAAAATCCATACAGGTTTGGAACCACTTGAGGGTGAGTAAATGTTGACAGAATGTAATTTTTTTTTTTGTGAACTATCCCTTTAAGTAAACAGCTTGGATGTATCCATATAAAAATACCTAGAAATGTCCAATAGAGCAATTCTAAATTCTATTTAATACAATGTAAACCTATATATGTAAATGTGCATTGTAATTACATATGTATATGTTTATGCAATACAATGCTGATGTTTCTGCTGATACATTCCCTGCAGAAACATAAGGGTTGCAGGTAGTGACTGGCACTGGTATACAAACACTCAGTCAGCGCTCATAGTGTGTTTATAGAAAAATATGTTCATAAGATTATTTCTTCCATGTGATTACTGGAGGAGAACATTATTATGTAATGAATGTGCATTCAGCCTTCAAGAGAAGTTTGATTCTCATTAGCATCCCATTTGCATCCCATTCTTTCACATTGTAGCCTAGGTTAGCAGTCAGACAAAAAATGTGTCAACCCCCATACCAATATACTGTAGGCTACTTCATAATCATGTTTGATCAGCAATGTTTTTATTGTTGTTATTATTTAGATTAGATGTGGAGTTGTAAGAACACAAAGAATATAATTTTCTGTATTTGTAGCACATTGAACACAAACAATCTTGAAAACTATCTTTCACAGCAAAAATATTTAAAGGGATCGTTCACTCAAAAAATAAAATAAATATTGACATCATTCACTTACCCTCATGTTTTTTGCAAACCCTTATAACTTTCTTACCACAAAGGGTATTCTTTACTGATCACCTAATTATAATTAAAGATGTTTATAGGTTGGAATCAAACTAATTTTTAAATCAAATCCTTATAAAGCGATCTGATGTATGAAAGAAAGAGTGGCGTCACAGGAATTGCCACAGATGGAAATAATCATGAAGCACCTTAAGGCATGGTGCACTTTTTCTTAATGTGATTTTTGTGATAGTAAAATTCAGATATCCATAAAGACTGTTGACATTTCTCAAAACATCAGAGAATATTTTTGACTGGTACTACTGTGATGGACTGACCATACAAGCATTTTGGAGAATGGATGAATGTTCTTTCTGTTACTTATGAGATGATGTATATAAATTATTTATTTATTTATTATTTGTCTCTGGTTGGTCCATTGAATTGGACTTCTTATTTTTATCACTGGGCGCTAAAGTAACCTCAAGGGAAGGTCTGTTCATACATTAAGCAAATCGTGAAGAAGGAAATCTTCCCCAACCATATTATGTAATGGTGTGATAATGTCAATGAAAAAAAAAATGAAAAAAAAAACAGGATGATCACTGTTCCCTGTTCTCACATGAGACATGAATTAGACTATTGTTCATTATTTTACAGCTCTACTTGGTTTTGTGACTGGTCAGTGGCAGGCTTCCAGGATGCAGTGTCAGATATGTTTGCATAATGAAGCTACATCCCCCCCCAATTCATGTCTATTTATTTGTTTACTAAGTAGTCTCATTCAATTATTTCCCTGGTATCTGTGATTTTGGCATTGAGCCCTTTTCCAAACACACACACACACACACACACACACACACACACACACACACACACACACACACACACACACACACACACACACACACACACACACACACACACACACACACACACACACACACACACACACACACACACACAACACACCATTCCACCAAAAAATATTTACATTAAAATACCATAATGGTATTTTTTTTGTTTGATTTTATTTTACATATAAAATAGCTAAGAATAAAGAAAAGGCAACATATAGCCAATATTACTATCATGTTTCACGACTAAAAATGTGATAAAAGGGGATGCAATGTGATCTGGACATATTTCACCAAACTTTAATAAAAATAGTAAAAAGTTGTCTGTATCAGACAGTGCGTAGAGAGTAATATTTCAGCTGTGCGCTGAAAGTAACCAGATTTTTGAACATCATCTGGAGAGAGAGAGAGAGAGAGAGAGAGAGAGAGAGAGAGAGAGAGAGAGAGAGAGAGAGAGAGAGAGAGAGAGAGATCTGATCCCAACCTCCCATCATCTGATGCTCATTCATCCTCCTCCAGCAAGACTTCAATGACAACGACGCGATAACGGGCAACCATTGTTGTTTCATCGCTCTCCTCCATTAATTCATCTTCTGTTCACCTCTGGATGTGTAAATGGTGGTGTTTTTTCAACGGTTACCGCCACATTTAGACTTAATGTTTCCGTTTCTGACGTGCAATTCGTAATGTTCGCTTGTATGGAATAAAATAGCGCACACCGAAACTGAGGAAATAAAGATTGACACTGAAAACGATACATTTAAATCTGGAGATATCGACGGATATCTACAAAAGGTGGGTAACGTTTTCTTTCCAGTTATACTAGGCTAAGGTCTTGTAGAAATTTCAGTGATTTTATTATTGAACATATTTGAACGGAGCATGTTTGCACGTTTGATTAAAGGCACAAGGCTTTTTTAAAGGATGGGTTTAACAACAACATTTAACGTGGTTTAACATTTAATTGTTCTTTCGATACAGGAAGTGGATAGGCTCAGATGTGAGTTGAAGAGAGAAAATATTGTGGCTTGATTTAACACAGTTCAACATTATCACATGTGACATTTTATCGCCCACAGAGCTCACATTAGGCTATACTGACAGTATCAGGCTAAACACCTACACGACTGCAGTCAACTATTCATTACTGCAAATGTCGTTTAATCTGCTTCATTTGCATTGAAACGATCGGTGACAGTCTGACATTTATTCTACAATGTACAAAAACACAAACACGTTATGTGTAACAATAAAAATGAACAGTTTACAATTAAGATGTCTCAAATGGCATTAAGATTATAAACGTATGTAAACATATTGTCATCAGCTTATTCTAAATGGATGCGTTTTGCTATCATCTGCCTATCAGTATCCTATATAAGCAAGGGGAGTTTTTGCACATTTCAAACATAATGCTAATTAAAAGTGCTTTATGTATATAGTAATTTCACATAAAATAACAACAAAAAAATTACCTATTAATTGTCATTTAAGTGAAATTACTGAACTTAAATATACTAGCTTGATAAAAAATGATCATTCTAGAAGAAAATTTCAGATGGCACTTAGAGGCTTTTGCATCTGAACTCTTCATATATATATATATATATATATTAGGGATGTAATGGTACACAAAGATGATGGGTCAGTACGGTTCACACAAAATTGCTTCTTTTTTAAACTGGGTTTTTTTTTTAACAAATGTGTATGTGTTTAAATAAATGTTATTGTAATTACAAATTTCTTAAGGATAATATATATATAGGCTATATATATATATTAGCTAATGCTGTAAATCATGGGGAGCCTTACATGGCCTTACTATAATATTACAGGTTACAATTAACAACATATTATTTAATTTAGTTGCTATTTATTTGTAAATAATTAACACTCAAATAAAAATGGCAGGTTTTGCATTAACTTCTAAATCTAATTATAAAAAATCTGACATAACTTGTGTTAATGACAAATGTATTCAAACATACATTAAATAATCAAGACATTACTTACAAATTAAGTAAATATAATGAATAGGCTAATATAGTGCATAAATGCTTCTCTCTAGTTCTTTTCTCTAGCGAACTAACATGTTGTTGACACTAAATGCCTGAGGAAAATGTAATACTACGTGAGATATTGTTCTCAAGCTGTTTTATTGATATCTAATATACTCTCATTTAATTGCAGTTAACATTAGGCTACTTTCAGTTTAACTTAAGTAAATTCTTTAAAAGTATGTTATTTCGGTAACACTTTACAATAAGGTCCATTAGTCCATTAGTTACATACATTAGTTAACTACCTTAGTTAACATGAACTAAGAATGAGCAATACTTCTTCAGCATTTATTAATAATAGTTCATATTAATTTCAACATTTACTAATACATTATTACAATCAAAGGTTGAATTTGTTAACATTAATTAAAGGTGCACCGTGTATTTTTAGCGGCATCTAGTGGTGAGGTTGTGAATTGCAACCAACAGAAGTTACAGCAGAGGGTAGCTAGTTAAGCAATTGGGTTTCTTTACAAACATAAATTAAGAAATTAGGTTTACTTGATTATTCAAGTCAAGTCAAGTCACCTTCATTTATATAGCGCTTTTAACAATATAGATTGTTTCGAAGCAGCTTTACAGTGATAATAGGAAATTAAAGTAACAGAGATAGTTTTGGCTTTACAGCAGCTCTAGAATAAAGTTATTGTCTAGCTAAAGTTAGATTTGATTGATTCACTTCCGTCGCAACGATCATTAGTTATTAACTTATGGGCCGCTAACAAGACACCGTTCTAACAGAAAACCCTTAATGCGATCCGGCCGCTCATTTGCACAAAACAGTGCCTGGTGGCTCGAGTACAAGCCTAGAAAAATGTATAATACAGAATTCTTTATCGCTTCCGCCACGTGAACCGGAATTATCCGACAACGTTTTATCTGTACAGAGGTAAAGGGAAGGGAAGGAGGCCTTCACAGGGGAGAGACTGGTTGACACTTCAAGACTGCGTTGTCGTCGTGTCCAGGAGCAGGTCCTTCATCAGTTCTGGATACGGACTGGATCCGGCGGACTCCAGCCTCGGGATAAACAGAGAGACTAATATTAGTGTAGACGCCATCCTTCTTATGATGTAACAAGTACATCAGGATTTATGGGAAGTGTTCCCGGTTCCGGCTGACCTAATCTATGCAGCCTAACATTGAATTATAGAAGTCTATAATGTGTTATGTGTGTGCTAGGTCAAAGAGATATGTTTTTAGTCTAGATTTGAACTGACAGAGTGTGTCTGCTTTCCGGACAATGTTAGGAAGGCTTCCAAAGTTTTGGTGCTAAATAGGAAAAGGATCTACAGCCAGCAGTCAATTTTGATATTCTAGGTATTATCAACTGGCCGGAATTTTGAGCTTGCAATAGACGTGAAGGGCTATAATGTGTTAAGAGCTCGCTCAAGTACTGGGGAGCTAAACCATTTAGTGCTTTGTAAGTAATCAACAATATTTTAAGGGAGGAATTATGGTGAATGATCATGAATAATGCTCTGATTCACACCTGAGAAGACAATGACCTGTATAATGAGCCGCATAATGAGCTGCATATGAGCTTTTCACACAGGTGTGTCACTGGGTACCAAAGAATAGAGTTGGAAACTTCTTGAAAAAAATTGTCTTTTACCACTGGGTACCACAAGAAAGAATGCGCGGACCTGGGAGTCCTCGCATTCTTTCTTGTGGTACCCAGTTGAAAAAGACACATTTTTTCATTCATTCATTCACACACAGACACGCTTAAACAGTCTTTTTGCAGTTTACAGACACTATTCCATATCGCGATTAGAACAAAGCACTTAAGAATAAATAACAGCTTTCATATCAGCTGGATCCGTTGCTCCTTGAAATGAAACTACCAGCACTTCTGAGGTAAATTTTACAGGATTATTAGATAGTATTATTCCTCACAGTGTAGCAAGATGACGTAAAGTACATGATTCTTATTAACCCAGGGTCCGGTGTTGGGAGCTCTTTGCCATCTCGACAGATGCTTCCCTCACCGGCTGGGGAGCGGTAATGGAAGGCCGCTCGGCTCAGGGTCTGTGGAGGAGTCATCATCTCTCTTGGCACATAAATTGCCTGGAGATGATGGCTGTCTTCAATGCGTTGAGACATTTCCTCCCAGACCTGAGGGGCCATCATGTGCTTGTCCGGACAGACAACACATCGGTGGTCTCTTAACTGAACCATCAGGAGGGTCTGTATTCGCGTCTGCTTTTCAAACTGGCGCACCAGATCCTCCTGTGGTCCCTAGGGAAAATACTCTCTCTGAGGGCAGTGTATATTCCAGGGGGCCAGAATATAGGAGCAGACACCCTGTCGAGGCAGGGGCTGAGGCCAGGGGACTGGAGACTCCACCCCGAGGCAGTGGAGCAAATATGGGAGTTTTACGGCCAGGCAGAAGTGGATCTGTTTGCGTCTCAGCATACGACGCAATGCATTCTGTATGTCTGTATGCATTTCCCCCTGTTGCTCTTCTCCCAGGAGTTCTGGACAGAATCCGCCAGGATGGAATAAGCCTACTGCTAGTAGCACCACGCTGGCCTAGTCGAATTTTTGCAGCCCCTTTCGGTTTCCCCCACTTGCCTTGAGTTTGCACCGGGGATGGTCAAGGCATTCTTATATCCAAAACAGGGTCCCTAAGGTTCCGACCATGCTTCCGAGGCCTATTGTGCTGCAGGCTTTCTGTCTTCCTCCTTTTACCTCTTCGGACCAGGAAAAGCTGAACCTCTTGTGTCCAGTGCGAGCATGTTTATTGTGTCTTATGTTCATCGGACTTCTCCGTGGAGAAGTTCAGACCAGCTATTTGTTTGTTTTGGATCACCCAAGAAAGGTCTTCCTGCTTCTAAACAGACAGTTAGCAAGTGGATAGTCGAGGCTATTTCACATGCTTACGAGTCCTCTGACCAGCCATGCCCTTTGGCGGTCAGAGCTCACTCTACGAGGAGTATGGCGAGGATCTAAAGCCTTACTATTTGGGGTTTCTCTCCAAGACGTTTTTGATGCGGCGGGCTGGTCCTCACCGTTCACATTCGTGAGGTTTTACAGCTTGGACCTGGATGCTGCCCCAGGATCCCAGGTGCTTAGTGCTTAGCTGACAACAGGCTGACACTCAGGTACTTGAAAGTTTGGCGATTTGGGTATTCTCGTTCCCAAAGCATCATCGACGCATCACAAGTTCCCTCGAAAGTGAACGTCTCAGGTTACGACTGTAACCATAGTTCCCTGAGATAGGGAACGAGACGATGCGTCGCCCTGCCATACTTCCTGCATCCCTGCGATCGACTTGCTTCAGCAATTTTCGAAGCTAATGCCGGTTTGCACCGGATGCGCTTTTATCTCCTCCTGTCATGACGTCACCCGCCCGTGACGCTCATTCTTTCCATTGGACTAGTTGACATAGATGCTTCAGACGCATTCATGCTGGAGGCGTTACCAAAGCGTCATCGACGCATCGTCTCGTTCCCTATCTCAGGGAACTATGGTTACAGTCGTAACCTGAGACGTTTTATTTTCTTCCAGCTGTGCGCTATTTTTCTGGCTGCTCTCTTAAGGGCCCGAGTGTGCTCGTTGTACCACGGCATTAGATTATTTTTTTTAATCTTCTTTAAGCGCAATGAAGCAACTGTGTCTAAAGTGCTGGAGAAGAGAGTCAATTGTTTTTGTTGCAACATCGAGTTCTTCTAAGCTATCTGGTATGGTGAGGAGATTAAACTGATCAGGAAGATTTGGGGTGGTTGATTATAA